CATCGATCAGCTGCCTCCGCACATCTCCTACTGGGGATGTGCCCGCAACCCAGGTACATGCCCTTGACCGGAATCGAACCTGGGACCCTTCAGTCCGCAGGCCGACGCTCTATCCACTGAGCAAAACCAGCTAGGGCTGAAATTGTTCTTATTTCATAATCTGTCTTGAGTGTTCTCTCAGCTGTAAGCTCCTTAAGAGCAGGACAGCCCTAACCGGTTTGGCTCAGTGGATAGAGCGTCGGCCCTGCAAACTGAAGGGTCCCAGGTTTGATCCCGGCCAAGGGCACAGGCCCAGGTTGCGGGCTCCGTCCCCGTGAGGGGCATGCAGGAGGCAGCCAATCAATGATTCTCTCTCATCATCTCTCTCCCCCCTCCCCTCCTCTCTGAAATCAATACATATATTTTTCTTAAAAAAAAAAAAAGAGCAGGACGGGCACGCACTGCTGTGTTCAAAGGGACATAGTAAGTGCTCAGTGAACGCTGGGTCTGGGCTGGAGGTGGCATCACAGGGAACTGGGAAAGAAGGTCCCTGTGGAACGATAGCAGTCACCCCTCAAGGCTTACTGCGGTAACAACAGGTGAGCACCCGAGAGGTGGGCTCAGGCGGGCACTGTTGCCAAGCTCTCCTGGCGTATCCTTTAGGGACAAAGACCAGTGTGAGCTCAGATGTTACACTTTAAGATTTTCCCTGCACATAGAAGCAATACTCGCTCCCTGAACAACCTTCAGACACAGACAGCGCATCCGGCCTCCCGGGAACCTGGGAACCTGCTCGTGGGCCTACACACGTCCCAGCTGGAGGGTCTGCCTCCGGGAGAGTCGAAAGCCTTTCATTGCCCGCCCAAACTCCCCCCCCACAAGGAGCCAGAACCCAGGCTGGGACCCGGCAGCGGAGAGGCGCCTTGCTCGCCTGATGTAGTTCTCGCAGAGGCGGTGGAAGTTCTCCCTCTCGGCGTCGCACTTGAGGTCGTCGAAGAGCTTGCTGAGGAGGATGGAGGCGCTCATGCGGCTGTTGGCGGTCACCGCGAGCTCCCCGGGGGGCTCCTGCACAGAGCCCCCCACCGCCAGGATCTTCTTCAGACCTGAGAGGACGCCCCGGTCAGTCCAGCCCCGACGGGCCCGGGGCAGGGGTTTCTGGGAAAGGCACGGAGCCCGGGACAGGGGTTTCTGGGAAAGGCACGGGACGGACGGCAGGACCACGCTGCGCAGGCTGCGGGCGCGGGGCAGGCTGTCTGTCCGGCTGACCTGCTGCCGCGGAGGCGGGTGTGGAGCAGGGCAGGGCCTCAGCAGTGAGGTCAGGGGCTCTGAGGTCCCTCGTGTGTAAAACTGAAGGGAAGCCCTAGCCGGTTTGGCTCAGTGGACAGTGTCAGCCTTTGGGCTGAAGGGTCCCGGGTTTGATTCCGGTCAAGGGCATGTACCTCAGTTGCAGGTTCCACCCTGGCCCTGGTTGGGGCCAGTGCAGGAGGCAACCAGTTGATGTGTCTCTCTTGCATCAATGTTTCTCTCTCTGTCTCTCTCCCTCCCTTCCACTCTCTCTCTCTCAAAAAAAATAAAATCAATGGGAAAATATCCTCAGGTAAGGATTAACAAAAATAATAAAAAATATATTTAAAAAATAAAAACTGAAGGGAAATTAGCAATCACAGCCCTAGCTGGGTTGGCTCAGTGGATAGCGCATCAGCCTGCAAACTGAAGGGTCCTGGGTTCAATTCCAGGTCAGGGCACATGCCCGGGTTGCAGGCTCCATCTCCCGTGTGGGCCGTGCAGGAGGCAGCTGCTCAATGGTTCTCTCCCATCGTTGATGTTTCTATCTCTCGCTCCCTCTCCCCTCCTCTCTGAACCCAAAGAAAACAGCAATCACCCCTCACAGGCTTCCTG